GGTATAAATACCACTCAATAACCTCATTTGTAACATTAAGACTTTAAGCAATTCAAGTTCCTTACGAAGCTTCCGAGTGCTTTCTTAGGTTTCTTTGAGATTCGTGTCTTACTCATTTTCTTAGCCTTCACATCATTTACTTAGCACTACTTCCAACGGTTGAGCGAAATTGACTTAGCTATTGCGAGGGAAAAAATAGCTAAGACCGCACGAGACATCGTTCGTGACAATTAGCTGGTTATAGAAAGATGTTTGGTAAAGTTGTCAGCTTATGATTACATTCAAAATGACCTTTAAAGGTATAATTTATTTTCTCAAAAAGTTTATGGAAAAAATTATTTTGAACAGTTTTTAAAATTTTAACGTCTTGAAACAATAAGTTTGTTAAAAAAAAAAAAAAGTGAAGTAAAATGATATTAGTTTGGTAGGGATTTAGGTGGGACGTTATGCCATGGAACCGTGTTCACCATTCATGGTGAACACGGTTCCAACGGTGTTAGTACACCGTTATCTTTTTTTTTTTTTTTTTAATTAATTGCGTGACTTTTCTTCTTTATTTTCATATTTTGCGGTTTCACTTTAATTTGAGGTGAACAAAAATTTCGGACATTCATAAATTATGAATTCATGCCTGCACATTCACTTTGGAACCATGCCTACACATTCCCGTCCGAAATCACAGACATTCATAAATTATGAATCCATGCCTGCACATTCACTTTGGAACCATGCCTACACATTCACTTTGGAACCATGAGATTATGAATTTTCTGTTATAAGATTATGAATTTTCTGTTATGAGATTATGAATTTTCAGTTATGAGATTATGAATTTTCTGTTATGCGATTATGAATTTTCTGTTATGAGATTATGAATTTTCATTACATTCATAATTTCGGACATTCATAAATTATGAATTCATGCCTGCACATTCACTTTGAAACCATGCCTACATATTCCCGTCCGAAATCACGGACATTCATAAATTATGAATCCATGCCTGCACATTCACTTTGGAACCATGCCTACACATTCACTTTGGAACCATGAGATTATGAATTTTCTGTTATAAGATTATGAATTTTCTGTTATGAGATTATGAATTTTCAGTTGTGAGATTATGAATTTTCTGTTATGCGATTATGAATTTTCTGTTATGAGATTATGAATTTTCATAAAATTCATAATTTCATAACAGAAAATTCATAATTTGATCAAACGCGCGCCGTTAACTCCACATCCGCGAATTTTTTTTTTTTTTTGCCTAAAAACGACGTCGTTTTGCCTTGTGTTCACCATTCTCGGTGAACACGATTCCATGGCATAATTTGCGGATTTAGGTGTAGTAGTTTAAGCCCATTGTATTGGGGCAAAATGTTTGGTAGGAAGTGACCAAATTGAAGCAATTAGCCCAAAGTAAGAATCTGACTTGGCCCATACGGCTGTGGAAGAAACATTCAAATGGAAAGCAGCCACGACAGGAAAACAACAAAACCGAATTGGGCGGCTATGGCGCAGCCTACATACATGCAAGTTCTCACCTCGGATGCTGTTACAATTTTCTTCAATTCATCTTCAACAATATAATGCTTACTCCCTAACAGAAAACCAATAACAACAAACAAATGATGGGATCTAAATAATCTATCTCTCATTCCATTGATCACTCATCACCGTACCGTACCAGTGGATCGGAGAAATATAATATAATATTAATGGCCGCCATTATTGTTTCTTCTTCCTTCAGTTCTTGTTTTCTCACCCACTCGCCGACCAGGAACGGGTATGGACGAGGAGGAAGGTGCGTCGTGAAACCCAAATTTAATTATTGCAGAGTTTCATGTGAAAAGAAAGGAGTAGATTTCAACGACCCGGAATGGAAGAAGAAGTACCAGGAGGAGTTTGAAGCCAGATTCAGTTTGCCGCATTTGAAAGACACGTTTGATGCAAAGCCAAGGCCTACCACATTCTCCTTAAGCAACAGGTGCCTCTCATCTGGGTCCGATACGATAATAATCATCCCCATATTCTTGGTGTTTTAGTTTGTTTCTCAAAATTAAATGAAATCCCATGTTTTCTGTCGGATAGAGGTGTTCATCCCACCCGAAATGGCATCGATGTGTTTGATGAACAGAAGCATAGTTACGTGGATGATGCAGATAGAGCGCTGTTGAAGGTGATTAAGTATGCTTCCCCCACTTCTGCTGGGGCTGAAGGGGTTGATCCAAACTGTAGTTGGTTGGAGCTATGGTATATATAATATATTTCTCCTTCAAAATAATATATATATATATATATATATATATATATATATATATATAGTTGAGACGAAACAGATCGTTCAGTTTTGTCCTGAATGTCTCAGGGTGCCTCGTGCGGGGCCGCGTAGGCACATATACTTTGAACCTGATGAAGTGAAAGCTGCAATTGTTTCTTGTGGGGGTCTCTGCCCTGGTCTCAATGATGTTATCAGACAGGTTTAATTAATTAATTAGCTTTTACATTTGCAGGAAAATTTTGTTTCCTTCTGCATGCATGCATGTGTTCACTAAGATTCCCAGTTTTGTTTCAGATTGTTTTCACTCTTGAGACCTATGGAGCCAAGAAAATTGTTGGGATACAATACGGCTATAGAGGGTTCTTCCAAGATGGTATTCCTGAAGTACAGGTGAGAATTTGTGACCCTAACTAGTAAAGAATCATAAAGAAATAGATTAGCCTATGTTGTTAACCGGCTCAAAACGCTGCAAGTCGAATTTGAAACCTTGTGGCTACCAAGCAGCATTGCACTTTAGTCTTCTTTTAGGAGATGATGATTCCTCTTCCAATTTTGCAGCTTTCCCGAAAGGTAGTCCAGAATATAAACCTTTCTGGAGGGAGTTTGCTGGGAGTTTCTCGTGGAGGGGCTCAGAACAATAGGATTGTAGACAGCATACAGGTTGATTAATTAAGGTTACTTGTATATGTTTTGGTTTAGGTTTTTGTTCTTCCTTGTACTGTAAGTGGCTAAGAATTGAATCTGCAGGCAAGTGGAATTAACATGGTGTTTGTGCTTGGCGGTAACGGCACTCATGCAGGAGCAAATGCCATACATGAAGAAGTATTATCTATCTTTTTCTTTGCTTTGCTTTGCTTAGCTTAGCTTAGCATATGTTACAGAAACAGTACTGAAATCCCATTTTTGTGGTTTCTTGGAACCTTAAATTGTTTGTTGTGTGGTGCAGTGTCGTAGGAGGAAGATGAAGGTGTCTGTTGTGTGTGTACCAAAGACAATAGACAATGATATACTGCTCATAGATAAGACCTTTGGGTTTGATACTGCTGTTGAAGAGGCTCTCAGAGTTGTTAACTCAGCATACATTGAGGTTAGTAGGATATATATATAGCATTGTCTGTTTGCCAACACTACTGAGTTTGCTGTGGTGAAACATTATTGTGTCCTTAATCTTTAGGCTCACAGTGCATATCATGGCATTGGAGTGGTCAAGTTGATGGGAAGAAGCAGTGGATTCATAGCAATGCATGCATCTCTAGCAAGTGGACAAATTGATGTCTGCCTCATCCCCGAGGTACTTCGCGTTTTCCAAACACATCTCACAGTTTACCTCTCCCACCAGAGCTCCAGAGGCAATGGGTTCTCGAGATTGGGACATGTCAAATTCCTTCAATTGGGAAAGAGCTTTCAACTTTTTTTTATTGGTGACGAAGAAAACCTGTAGCTACTTTGACTCTCTGAGGGTGTACATTAAGTAAACCCCGCCTTATAATCCTAACTAACTAAGGACCACAAGGAGGTAACCAGCCAAAGTTGCCCATAGCTGATCAGCTCAAAATAAGTTTTTTTTTGTCTAGTTCATAGCACATCTCATGGTTTACCTCTCCCACCAGAGCTCCAAGGGCAATGGGCTCTCGAGATTGGGGCACAATTTATTTCTTAATCTGCCTTTCAAATTCCTTTAATTAGGAAAGAGCTTTCAACTTTTTTTTTGGTGATGAAGAAAACTTGTAGCTACTCTAAGGGCGTGCATTAAGTAAACCTCGCCTTATGATCCTAACCAAGGACCACAAGGAGGTAACTAGTCTAGGTTGCCCATAGCTGATCGGCTCAAATGAAAGCACATCTCATGGATTACCTCTCCCACCAGAGCGGGTGGCCCTCGAAATTAGGATGCAATCTGTTTTCAATCTTGTCTGTCAAATTCCTTCATTTGGGAGAGCTTTCAGCTTCTTTTTTTTTTTTTTTTTGTTTTTTTTTTTTTTGTTTTTTGTTTTTTGTCTGGTTCAGGTGCCTTTCAAGCTGGATGGAGAAAATGGAGTGCTAAAGCATTTAGAACACCTTATAGAGACCAAAGGATCAGCTGTGGTATGTGTAGCTGAAGGAGCTGGACAAGTAAGTAATCTTGTGAATCTTTATAAACTACACCGCGTTGTTCAATGCAGGCCGAGCATATAATATATAAACATGAATACGTACAGGATTTGATGGAAAAGTCGAACTTAAAAGATGCATCTGGGAATCCAATTCTTTCAGATGTTGGTGTCCATATCCAGCATCAGATCAAGAAGCACTTCAAGAAGATCGAGCAACTAGTGGATGTCAAGTACATTGACCCTACATACATTCTCCGGGGCTGTCGGGCAAGCGCCTCAGATGCAATAATGTGCACTGTTCTAGGACAAAACGCTGTAAGATAACTCTCGCAGCCACTCATTACTCTACTAGATTGCGGTTTCAAGATGGTTAAAGATGAGATTTTTCGTGTTATATATATGCAGGTGCATGGTGCATTTGCGGGATTCAGTGGAATAACGGTGGGCATATGCAACACGCATTACATTTACCTGCCGATTCCAGAAGTGATTGCTGCCTCGAGGCATGTCGATCCAAACAGCAGAATGTGGCACCGCTGTCTGACTTCCACTGGCCAGCCTGATTTCAGCTAATATCGACAAAGCCAATGCTATAAAACGAAAAATTGTTATAACAAGAATGACTGTATGAAATAAGGTTGTTTTTCACGGGAATACTTTCGGATTATGAGTGGTAATCATACTCGAAGGTCGAGTCTAGAAAGTAAACGTTCAACTAAATGTTCACACCGAATTCTGAACACACTAAACATCATGCTTCATGACACTTTTATTAATCCCTTATGATTTTCAGTTCTTCGAGGCTTGCTTTTCCTTAGCTTTCTGAATCTTCAAAACCTTCTTCACAATTTTTTGTTCTTCAACCAAGAAAGCGCGGATGATTCTACACAAAAGAGTAATAATTGGATTAATGCACTCATAGCTAATGGTGTAACGAAAATGGAAAGGCGGGGGAGAGGACACATACCTCTCCCTAACGGCACTGCCAGAAAGGACACCACCGTAGGGACGATTCACAGTCCTCCTCTTCCTAGGCAATCTGGATCTCTTGTATTCAGCAGGCCTTAGGTGCGGGATCTACACAGCATTAAGAAACTTCACCACTTACTTTTAAGCACTAAAGAAACGGTATACAAATATGCTTCCAACTTCCACAAAATGATATTCAGAAGTGCAAGAATGAAGAATATGTATCACGAAACGAAAATAGCTACCTTCTAACATCCTGGTACCTCTAATTAACCTAGGTATTCATTCGTACATGCCATGATGTTTTTGGTGACCCGGAAAAAACAAAGATCAACTCACAAACATCACACCATTTGAACAACTCATCAACCAAGGCTCATATTCCAAACAGAAAGATATGAAAAGCAAAGGGTCATGGTTTCGAATAAATCCTATAGGCTACGAAACAAGATGAATACAAATATGGGGGTTTGCTCAGATGGTGAGCATTCATCACTTCAAAGTCACCATGGATAACCAGAAATGAAGCATTGCATAGTTCCAATAGAAGATCAGAGTTGCAGAATATGAATATCACATTTGAAACACAAGAATGTAAAGTAATCAAGAGACAGACTCACATACCCCTTGAATTCTTTTCCCAGAAACAGGACATTTAGGACCACTAGCTCTCTTCTTGGTACTCTGGTAAATCAGCTTTCCACCTAGTTTTCCCAAAATTATCAAGTTAATCCGTCTCTTTACCACTTCATTACTTCTAATAACAGAACCCAGAGCATAATCAATCACATTATACGATCAAAAACCGAAGATTGAGCCAATGTATAGCAGAGATCAACGATAAAGAAGACAAAAATACATTAATAAGTTAAAAAGTTAGAAACTTTTTAGGCAAAACGGTTCTTGATGATCATTACCGGGAGTTTTGATGACCCTGTGTTGGTTTGATTTGGTGGCATAGCTATGCCGCTTCCGATACGTCAATCTCTGAACCATCTTCTTCACTTCTTCTCTTTCAGTGCTCACTGTATCTTCTACTCGTCGCTGACGGTAAACCTAAAAGTTGACTATAAAAAATATCCACAAAATAGCCTTTCGAAACCCTATTATAGAATATATTACAAAATAGGTCCCCCAATGTTTGAGAAATTATAAAATAACGCCAATTCACTAAGACTGATAGAGAATATAATAGAATCATAAGGCGAGTTTTTGCACGGGTATTGTATTGTGCATCGCATGTGGAGTGGGTTATATTGTGAACTATTGGCAGTGATAATAATAGTATTCAATGTGAATGATATCGGATATAAGTGCAATTTGCTACACTATTTGTACCAAATATATATAACACGACATTAATAAAAATTGATACCTTAAAACTTTTTCATAAAAATAATGAATTAATGAACTTTGTGTAAAATGAAACGAGTTTGTATATAGTATTAGTAAGGCTTATATTTTAGTGAATTCTAAATTTCTAATTAATTTAATCATCGACGACGGATTACTCGAGTTATTTTTATCAGATTGATTAATTAAATTGAAATCAAAATATGATCAATTCTATATACTATTCAATCAAAGTGTTGACCAGAGAAGGCTGCATCAATTACATAATTGAAGCAATTGGAAAAGTTTATTGCTTTGATTTACGAGATAGCGTTACACGAAAGCTTGCAATGCTATACGAAAGTACGCTCTAAATGAAGTTTATCTTGTAATTTTAGTGGATAAAAGGCCGCAAGAAGTTAAACTAGCCTAGGTTATTACAGCCGGAAAAATTCATTGTTTTGATTTTTATATAATTTTATGTATATATAAACACAAGTATTAACTTCAATATGAAGATGGGAAGAGCAAAAAAGAAGGTTGTACTTGAATTTTTGTTTGTTGGAAGCTAATGGTGCTTAATTTGTTATGGCACCATTGCAGTTGGTCTCTTGTTATTGCAGACATGTTAAGCACCCTTGAAACCAACTTCATATCCACTTGAGAAAAGAAGTAAAGAACATGATGATGATGATGATGATGATGATGATCTGTATCCTCTTCCTTCCACCTACTGAAACCCCTCAACGTGCTGTTTTCACTTCTCAATATGTCTTTCAGCTTCCTCTCCTTCTGCAATAAATAAGGAATAGGGTAAGCAACTGTGTCGAGTACAATTGACTTTTTTTTTTTTTTTTTTTGAAAACCTCAATCAGCCATATAATTAATTGCACTAGATAAAATTAAATATGATATATTTATTTTTGACGAATTTTAAATGACTATAAAATTCACAATCATTACTATCAAAGGTGTACATTATGACCCGGCCTAATCGACAAAAGACACCAACTGCCTTGCAATTCTAGCCGGCAAATATTGTTGTGAAATAAATTAACCAATCTAAATTGTCCATAACTGACATGTTCAGACCAAGAAGGTCAATTGTTTATTCCCACTAAAAGTTAATTATTGCACTAAATATTGTGAAAACAAGAATTGACAATTCTCATTAGGTCTGTTGCACTTGTACAACTAGACATGATATGCAGACTATATGAGTTCTACTACATGTACTCTCAAATTTTACTGCTTCACTTTTATTATCTGACGTGGCAAACAATGATATATTATTTTCATTACATGAGTTCAAAAAAAATGTCTACATACATCCAAAGTTTGTTAATCTACATAATAATTTTCAGATTATAGGGTTTGTTTGGTTATCAGCGAATTGTGTTAGATAGCGGGTTTGACCAATGGTTTGTAAAAAAATATTTGGTAAAATTAGCTGTTTAGATTAGTGATTGAGGTGTAAAAAATCATATAAAGACATTGCTACAAAAACTATAATAATAATACGAAATTATAATTATAATTATAATTATAATATATTATTATTATTATTATTGTTATAATTATTATTGTGAGCATATAGCCATTAACGTGCAATCCAACTATAAGCTTAGGTTTTTAGTTGAGATGGAGCACATGCTTCAATTTGGTATTAGAGCCAGACTAAAGGTCATGGGTTCGAATCTCAACGCCACTCATAAGTGACTACGGTTTACCACAATCGTACACGTGAGGGGACGTGTGAGCATATATCCATTATTGTGTATCCAACTATCAGCTTAAGTTGGGTTCGAATCTCAACGCCACTCGTAAGCGAAACTTGCTTCAATTATTAGTTTTAGTTTTGTTGTTGAAAAAAAAAAAATACAATACATTTTGGCTCCCCTTTGTATTTCAGTGGGATCCCACATTCGTGGGATAACACTAAGGGGCCTTGAGAGGAGCCTCAAGGCCCCTTAATTTATTCTTCCTGTTTGATGTTGTCCCACATCGAATGGGAAGAAGAAACTAGCCTCAAGTCTTCTCAATATTATTGAGGAGACTTGAGCTAAAATATAATTGAATTTTTTTTAAAATATAAATAAATAAATTATTAAGAAAGGCATTTTGGGAAAAGACCTTTACACCTTTCTTTACCTAAAATGTCAAACCCAAATGTTGCTATTTGCAGTTGTTGGGTTTTTTTTTTTTTTTTTAAATATCGTGGTATTTTTATAATTATCACCAATTTTACTATGAAAACATGCACACCAATATCTTACCCTTAGGATTTTTATTTTAGAGTTTATGACTGTATTTTTGGTCTTATTTGATTTAGTGGTTCATTGATTTTATAAATTTTACTAGGTTTGCATATTTAAGTGTTCAAATTTGCATAGTGAAGTGATGATAATTACGAAAATGTCTTTTTAAAAAAAAAAAAAAATTATCATATTCCTCAAATTTTTACAAATGTAAAACTGAAATTGATTCTTATTTTTCTTTTTATGTTATCATAGGATCATTAGCCTATATATATACTCCGTAGTCCGTATATACATACCTTGTGAAGACTTTTTGTGACCTCCCTTAACAGCCCAATATCTTCTGCATTTCGAACTTCTGGATGCACTCTCTTCTGCCCCTTCCCCACCGCGCCTGCAGAGGATTCCTTATCAGCTTTGACAAACCGCCAGAATGTTCTTATGCATTCTTCCAGGATCTCCACAAGCATGTCACTTGTAATTGGGTTGGCCTTCGTCTTCTCCATCCAGCTATCCTCTGCTCATGCAAAACCCTAGCTAATTTCAGTATCTTAATATCCTCTTCTTTGACAGAAAACCTTTTTTTTCACTTCATTCTTACCCTTTATCAGAGGAACTTGTAGAAGACTGGGAAAATCACATCTGCACTTGATGTAATGCTGAACTCTTGTCCCTTGAAATGGTTCATCATCCATGAATCTCAGCATGAGCGCCATAAACTGCTGAAACTCCTCAGAGACTTCATCGTATCGATGGATCCGGCGCGGATCAGAGCCCCGGAGATCCAAGGCTTTTACGTATTGCCAGTGCAGAAATTCCCAGGAGAGACACATCTGCCCAACATATACAGCTTCCAGATCTCTGCGCACTTCTTTGATGAAGCTTGTCAGTGGATCAACCCCACGGTTTTTGTGTTTGAATAGCCAAATGTTTTGTGAAAGTAGGGACTTGAGTGATGATGAAGATTTCTGGGTTGAGAGTAGTTGCAGTGGATCTTTTAGAGGTTCTTTCTGCAGAAAACCTGTAAATATATATTTTGCATTATAAATGGAGAAAAACACAGATGTTTTCTTGTGAAGGCCGATTACTTTTTACACGTGGACCGTAGTCTCATTTTTTTGCATGACTCTGAAACCAAATTATAGCATGTGCTCAATCCCACTTAAAAGTCTAAGCTGATAGTTGGATTGTGCATTTACCATATAGATACTAGTTATATTTTCTTGATTTTTATCTGTGTAGAATAAACAACATTAGAAAATTAATGCATGCATGCATGAAAATGTGGAATGTGGTGTTTATGAAAAAGTCATAAATGAAAAAACTTACATACATACCTATAGCATACATGTTCTGATAGGTCAATATGTCAAATCTTCTCATCCTCTCTCTGTAAGCATGGTAGAATTGGTGGAGCTCATCAGCCATGAAATTTTGAGGCTGGAAGCTTTGGTCAACATTCTTCCATGGCTTCCAGTAGTCTTCTTCCAAGTAGTCTTCTTCCATTATTATTTCTGGAGACTCATCAGATTCTTCAAGAATTGTGGGCAGGCTATTGGTTCTAACCTTTCTAAGTTCTGACTGCAATTGTTGGATCAACTCTTGATGTTCCCATCGTCTGTTTGCATTATCCCCAGAATCCAAATCTTCATGAAAATCACTCTCTGATAAAAATCTGCAGAGATGATCTTGTTCCAGCTCCCTGAGCTCTTCTTCCATTATTACATCACTTTCTTCACTGCCAGCAAACTGCCCAGAATAATCGTCTGGGATTTCTGGGTGGTGGAATATAACCACGTCCAAATCCTTAAAGGAATCGATCTCGAAATCTTCATCTGACAAGAATCCATCGCTCAAGGAATCTCCTAATCTGCTCATATGCTCAAAACCAGTTGACGCAGAATCAGAATCTGTAACCAACCTCTCTTTTTCTTCGGAGAAACCGAAATCCTTGTGGGATTTGTTCTCTGCTTTACCTGATTCTCTCTTGCTTTCTGCACCATCAACCTCCGAAAAATCAAAACTTTTCTCCAAAGAACCATCGCCCTTTCTTAATCTGCAAAACCAAATAAAAATCTCAGACAGATCTTAGTTAACATTCAAGAAACAATAAAATAGAATGGGGTGATACCTGAAGAGGAATGAGGTGAAGTGACAGAAGAGTGGGAGCAAGTAGGAGAAAACAGAGAGCGAGAAAGTCCCCAGGAGAAACGTAAAGCGAGAAACATAGGCCATGGTTGGAGAGCTCAAAATGGGGCGCCATGGATTCAATCAGCCATGGATTCAGAGAAGAGAGACGCGGGGAAAAACAACAGATCAGAGGCAGAGGGGTTCAGGGAAATTAATTTGGATATGTGAAAAGTCAAAAGATGGGAATAGACAGAAGAACTGCAAACCAAAAACGGAGGTGCGTGGTGGTGTGTGGGTGATGGAGGATGTTGAAATCCGACCAGACTGCAGAGTTGTGGAGAGTTAAGGAAAGATAGTTACATGTAACCGACCATTTCTGGTACCATCGACACAGAGAGTGAGTCCCATGTACTGTATAATGTATTATTGAAGTTGGTGAGATTTTTGGGTCTGGAATTTTGCCGACGGCAGCTCCCAAAACACACAAGAAAGCCGACGCTGAAGCTTCCCTTTTGGTCCATTCCACGTTCATATCCATGGCATATTACTAAATCCATGCATAAACATAAATTTGTAATCTAATTTTAATTGAGATAAAACACATACTTTAATTTAATATCGGATCTAAGCTAATTTTTTGAGTCATCAAATAAAAAAAAAAAAAAAAAAAAACTATGACCTACCTGTTGCTTGACCTCCTTCAAAAGTAATATGCTCGCACACACGTAAGGAGATTAATCTATTTTCAACTAAGGTTACAAGGTTGTCTTCCAGGAACCACATTTAAATAGCAATTATGAGTTTTTTAGTTTTTTTTTTTGGTGACTACAATTCTTGTGACAAAAATTAAAGGTGGAATCACCCACTCCAAACGCCTTCACACTCTGGTCTGACAGTTTGAGGAGGGTGGCTCCTGCACTTTCACCTATAAAACCAATTTAAGCTGTTCATGTGGGCTTGTGACTACAACTCTATTATTATAAATAAATGATAATATGTTATTGAATGCATTTTTTTTATAATAGTTATTGGAAATATTGGGTTTCTTGTCCAATAGATAAAATGTGACCCAATTTTTTTTTTTTTTTGGCTTAGAATGTGACCCAAACTTTAATGACAATTAGACGTATTACCTATATCATAGATTCAAGATATTGTTACTTCTTGATCACCCAAATCCATTAAGGTCAAAGGTAGTAATTATAAGTACCTATACGTTTATTGTGAATACTCCTAAAGTATTCCTTAAACAACACATTTTAATATTATGATAAATGATTATAAAAAATTACATTACCTAATATGATTTTTGAATCATAAAAAGGGTTCGACCCAATGCTAGTCTAGCAGTGTTTAATACGGAGTAGTATTTCTTCTCGAACGAACTAGAAATACTCGGTCTACCACCAACACTAAAGTGGACCACAAAAATAATAATAATAATAATAATTTAAAAACTTTATAATGATTATTAATTAGCATTATTTACCTTATACCCAAGAAACTAACACTACTACCTTCACTAAAGAAAAATGAAAGTAGTTTGAAGTTTTATATGTGCTCTTTCCCAAATCAAATTCCAGCTAAAAACGAGATCAGAAAGCTTGATTCAAGCCCGACACCGTGTGCACCGACACCTGCGCACACGAATGTCGTCCGGAAATTGACAGGCCTTTCAGGCTAAGTTATGCCAGACTTCGGTATCATTTTCCAATCCAGTCACTGGAAGTTTCGGCCTGAGGAGGTGAAGGTAGTGCTTAGGCCGAGAGGTCTCGGCCACCATGGCCGAAACTGGAATGTTTTGGCTTGGTAGCCATGGCCGAAACTTAGTGTTTCGGCCTATCATGACCTGAAACTCTCGGCTATGGTTGGCTACCCAGAAGCACGCACGATCTGAAGCTCCTAATGTGACTGTTGGGATTTATTTCAGCTGTTACGGGATTAATTCTTTGAATTTTGAATTAAAATCCATGTTAATGGTTGCTGTTACAAGAGTTGTAGGGGTGCCCTTAAATGCCTATATTAAAAGCTATTCAACTCCTCAACCCCTATATAAGAAAGAGTTGGGCAGCAGAAATTTTAGACAAGAAGAAAGTATAATTTCCAGCCTCAAAACTCTCTGCTTCTACTCTTTCTTTGCCTACTGTGGTCACAATCTTGCCTTGTTCGCTGGATTTCTTGTTTGGGTGCTCAAACATTGAATCACAAGCAAGTTTTATCCTGAGAAGCCTAGGCTACGAAGCTCCTAGCACTTTTGGGAGTTGGCAAATAAGGTTTTAAGGAAAGAGTGGTGGTCGCTTGACTCTTGCAAAAATCCAGCATCAAACACTAGCCAAATTCTCCATCTTTCCTTCCCTTATTTTTTTCAGAAAAATAATAATCTTATTTATTTGATTATTATTTGTTTTTCACCAACGGATATCCAACAAACTCGATATATAACTTGGGAGGTAGGAAATTTAACAATCCTTTTACCATTGACTAGGGTTCAAAGTGCAATGTGGACCCTGGTGCATATGTGTCTTATATTGTGCATTTTGTGTTTTGTGTTATAAAATTTTGTATTTTAAGAATATAAATTATGTACTTGAAACAAATTAGTAATTGTGTCTTATGTTATGAATTTATGTGTCTTGTGTTATGAAATTCTGTACCTATGAATACAAATTATGTACCTAAATTAGATTAAAAAATAATTAAATATATAACATGTGTATGTGTCTTGTGTTGTGATTTTTGTGTCTTGTGTCATAAAATTATGTATCTTCCGAGTACGAATTATGTACCTCGTCGTTTCAATCCAAAATCCATAATGTTATATGGACCCTGGTCCATGGTATAAATTGCCGAAATTTAAAAATTGGGCCTGAATACACTTCTACAGAAACCAAAATAGGCTCAAATTTCTTATTTTTGGATCATTCCACACTTTCATGGACTTGTAGCATTGTATAAACTGGACGTAGGGAATTCAAAAACTGGGTCTGTATACACTACTTCCCCAACCAAAAATGGCAACTTATATCCTACACCACGGCGTGCGTTGCACTGTGCGCCCAGATGCAAAACAACTACGTTTTAATTTTTTTTTTTTGAAATTTTCCGCCCCAGTGTATGGCAGTTAATTTTTCTTTAAAAAAAAACCCCTGTTCAAAAATGTACATAATGTTATACTAGAATACACATAATTGTATACATGAATGTACATAATTATATAACAAAATATACATACTCTTTTTAAAATATAATACACATAATCTAACATAATACATAATAAACATAAACTTTTAACATAATACACATCAACTCTTAACATAATACACACAAATTTTCTGATTCAGATGTACATAATTGTATAAAAAGAATGTACATAATTGTATAAAAAATGTACATAACTATATGAACAAATATACATAATTGTATGAACAAATATACATAATTGTGTGAACAAATATACATAATCACAGCAACTTCCTACCGCGCCACCCAAAACGACGTCGTTTTGGGAGGCGCGCGGCGTACAGTGCTACGCGCGCCGTGGTGTAGGGTATAACGATTGACCAAAAATAAGCGCTAATTTCTGGCTTCATTCCATACTATATATTATGGGTTTGTGATCTTCGTATATAACATTTTGCTAAAAGAAGGATTTGACCCTTGAATTTGTGGTTAATAGTCACATGCTCTAACCAACTGAAGTACCCCAACAAATATCAAAATGTCTGAGCTACTCCAACAAGCATCAAAATGTTTCACTACAAATTATACATCACAACCTTATTAAGGTCAAAATAAAAATGGGATAAAGACATAAAGTCTTATTATTCTTATAAGATTTCGCTAAAAGAAAGGCTTGAACCTTCGACCTATCTTGTGGTTAAGGGCCACATGCTCTAACCAACTAAGCTACCCCAGCAAACATCAATACGTTTCACTACAAATTATACATCGCAACCTTATGGACATCAAAATAAAAATGGGATAAAGACGTAAAGTCTTATCTGCCTCCTAGTTTCCTAATTTGTGTAAGCAAACGTGTTTTAGTCTCTCATCTTTACATCTAACACATCCCCACTTTCCTTAAACTTCAAACACACCTCGTTATCAACGTGCAGGAATTCATCACTCATCACCTCCAAACTGGCTTTTTCATGTAACATTTTTTGGCCTATAGATGTTACGTACACCTACTCGGTTAAACTTTAAACGGATTAGATACCATTTAATCGTGAGGAATCTTTCGCCAAGCAAACAGATGCTAAAATAATGACAATTAACTGAAAGATGTTTCTAGTGAAAACCTAAACAACAAACTATATTAACAAAGTCAATAATTTCGTAAAATACATTTAATTATATTGTCAGAAGGAATTTAAATTTTTGAAAAAACAAAAAATAAATGTTACGTTGGACCACCATGAAAGCGCAACAAAGTGTAATATGCTTTTTAAATGCTTCATACCTCATAAAGATTGGGTGGTCCAGCCTCAACTTTCTATTTTCCCAAGGGCCCATATATAGCTACCCTAATCTCCTAGAAAACCATTTTTAGGTCAAATTGTGGATGAAATTAAAAGATGTAAATCATTGTGGAATATAACAACAATTAGTTGCGTAACCAAAATGTTATTTGCGATTCAATTTGTAATTTGTAACGTGGATGCTTATTAATTACATGACTAGAATTATAATTTAATAGATAACTAATCAAAGTACGACCGTTGAACAGGATTTGTGTTCTTAAAATGATCTATAATATATATGACTTTAAAACACAATTATCATAGTCAATGGTTGGAGAGTTAAGAGAGACAACACGGCATGAGCAAGACAACGATTGAAAGTGCTTTGGAAGAGAGGAAGATCGAGGAGAAGGGGAGTGGGGAGGGGGATTTTTGCTTTTGAACCCACCATAGAATTCTTTTCGATCATTGTCTATGAATTTATGGTGCAATGGCATGATATTTTCAAAATATAGTGGGCAGATCCCTTGTACGCATCAGCATTTAGTACTATCTGCTGAGTCATTGAGTAACAGTGATTTACATCCTCGTCCCAAATGTTCTGTGTCGGATCGGAGTGTGGAGACACTTGGAATTGGGGATTCAAGGTTTAGGGAGAAGAGAAAATGTAGCATTCCATAATCAATTCCTTTGACACCTCTAATAAAGCCTCATTGAATGCTCTTCACTCCCAATCTATCCCCATATTGTGAAACCCTATTCAAAATTTCAAATTAATGGCTGCATGCATCTGAACAAATTAAAGCCCTGGGTAGCTGCAGTAATACACAGAGGCCCAATATCACCTACTTCATTCCATTCTGATCTTGGATTGACAGTCCAATTTGAGGCTCTTTTTTTTTTTTTTTTTTTTTTTAATGGAGTTCATAATGAATTATGAACAGAGGTAGGTAAAAGAAACAACTGTTCATCTGTAATCAAACTTTTGACAATGATAAGATTGCAAACCTAAATAATAATGTTGAGTAAAGTGGCTCAAACACCAGAAATGTTCCAAGATCGTGACATACACTTCATTCCCATCATTCAACAGTTTGAGTACGGTGCAATTCTTTTAAAACGAACAACGACAAGAATTACAACTACATCCAACCAAACAGTCTATTAAGACACGATCTTTTCAAAATGAAACGCCAGACGGAGAAAGCAAACTCTCAGGATCAGGGAAAAACAATATGATATAGTCAGAATAACGTAACTTTACGAGTATTTTCTGAACACGAAATTTTATTTGATATGACGCGTTCCAGACAAATGATTGGGTTGTTAGTTGCATCTCTCGCAAGACTAAGCTTTAGGGCACAAGTGAGGTTGCATCCCTCTAACAGAACATTATAACTTATATATAAGAGTACTAATGACTTCACAAAGTGAGCGGACCAGAAACCAAACCCACACCTTAGTTAGCCAGCGATGGACAAGACATGTGCTCTATTATCGTCACCTTCAAATAATTATTATGAAAGTTTATAGGGCTACTTCCCTTAAAAGGAAAGTCATACTGCAATACACTACCCTCTCCTAATTGCCTTTCATAGCAATATTAGAATTTTTTTTTAATTTCCCCCTATTTTTCTACCGACGCAATGCATGCTCAATCCCAATGATTCAACCTATAGATCCATATGGTCCATTGGATAGTATTACACATTTTCTTTTTGATAGGGGACAAATTTCGTTTGAGAATACTCTTATGATTCATGGAATAATACTAATATACATTTTCTTAGATTTGAGAGTATATGTATGGTCCATCGAACAATAATAGCCATTTTTCTAGCAGTATAAATCTAGTTTGAGAACTCACGTTTTATCTGGATAGTAAAAGTGAACATTTTATAATTAGTGAGACAAATCCCATTTGTGAATGCACATATGATCCATTGAATAATACTACACGTTTTTCCTGACAAATCCCATTCGTGAGTATATATGTATGGTCTCGAATAGTACGTAATACCCATTTGTTCCAGGAGTATAAATCTAATTTGAGGTTCGCAGTAGTTCAGTTGGTCACATGGGTGAAATTTGAGAATAATGACCTGAGATTGAGTCTCACCAACAGCTCATAGCGGCTCTGTATGAGCAACCTCTCAGAGTAAACACGATTAATATGAATGTTTGATTAACTAGCTTGCTAAAATTCAAAAAGTTATTCACGATTAATATGAATGTTTGATTAACTAGCTTGCTAAAATTCAAAAAGTTATTCACGATTAATATGAATGTTTGATTAACTAGCTTGCTAAAATTCAAAAAGTTATTCAAAGTAACTTTTTCAATAAATCTTTTGAGAAAGTCATTTTGTATGTAATTAGCTAACAACTAACCGCTAATTTACCAAACACTTTTCTACAATCAGCTAATGTTATCAACTAGTCAAACTCACTAACCCAATCTAATTTACCAAACACTCGCTAATGTTATCAACTAGTCAAACTCATTAACCCAATCAGCTAACACCCATTTGCAAAACACTACACAATCCAACCAAAAAAAAAGTGTTAACTCAAGGTGAATTAGTGACTGGACTCCAAATGTTTAGGAGAAAAGTAATAGTACTCTAGTAATCAAGACAACATATTATTGCTAATAATTTACTTAATCAGAGCCCACCCACCAAAACAACATTCCCCACACAACCTTAGAATGATTTAAAAAAGGGTAATTTCTGATTTCAGTACACCATCAATCTGGTCTAACTTTAGGCAAACCTATGATTAACATAGTATTTTATTAATTAACAAATCTTGGTAGTAAGCTTTCTATATTTGGCAGTGTTTACACTTTACGGAATGGGGAAGCATCCTTAACCTACCTTAATAATGACAATTAACACGATTATTAAAACCAGAAAAGGTGAACAAAAACAAACCTTAATCAACCCTCTTTATCATTATCCATTTGGAATAGGCCATAGTGGCAGATAAAGAATGATTATTATACTATGCTAGTCTGTAGTGCAATACTTACTGGGAAAACTGAGAACTGAAAAGTGAAAAGTGTGTCATCTGAACAACATCACTGCTCCATTAATTTAGCCTTTAAACCCAAGTAAATATGTGTTTTTCAAGATTGATTAGATTAGCCAAGAATGCACAGTATTAGAGAATTCAGAATCAAGAAAACCAACCAAAGCTAGACTGAAGTGATCTGGGAAACCCATCAATGGAGAAAGAATGGTGGAAGGGGAGGGAGGATTCAAGATTCAAGAAACAAAGGAAAATGGGAAAAGACTCAATTTTTTTTTTGGAGATCCTAATTAAGGTTATAATTTACAGGTCAGGATGATGAGAATGAAAAATAAACAAATTAAATTGCTCATCAGAACGATGTTCTGCAGATTTTTCCTCAGATCAGAGCACTAATCATTAAGAACAGTCGAAACAGAAGATCTAAAATAGGCTCTTTGTGAATAAGCAGTAGCTAAGATAGAACAGTACTGGCCTCACCATAGTTGGTTGTGTTTCCTGCAAATTTTGCCGCAGATTCTAAAATCTTTTTTATTCTCCCCTTCCACGTGCCGGATCAGGAAGAAGACGACGACCCATTGGCGGCGAGAACGTCGCCGCTGTGGAGGGCGTAGTGGTTTTGGCTATGGCTGCCGTTGTTGTTGCTTTCTGGACGGAGGTTGAAGTCGGAGGTGAGTGGGGCGGAGTTTACGCGGCCGATGTCGAAACCGAGACTGTGAGCATTTCCGTTATCGGCGGCGGCGGCGGCTGCGGGGGTGGTGGTGATGTTATCTCTCTTGCCGACAGTGTTCTTGTTGTTATGCATCCAGACCTTTAAAACTCCTCTCTCGACTCCAATTTCACGGCAGAAATCGTTGATCAGTTCTTCGTCTCTCTTCTGAATCTTCCACCCGATCCTCTCCGCGAAATCCAGCATTTTACCTTTCTGATCTTGGGTGAATTTTGTTCGGAACCGCTTTCTCCCTTTCATGTGTGGTGATGGGTGGATGGATGAGGGGTTTGCGGCGGCGGAAATTGGGGTGGTGATGTCCGCCGCCGGGTGACCGGATAAGCCGGTGCTAAGCGCGAGGAGCATTTGCGGCGCTGAGGGGTAGTACGAGGAAGAGATCGGCGGCGGAGATGGGGAATTCGGGCTGCTGTGGTCGTGAGGCGGCGGCGGCGGCGGTGGAGGCGGGTGGTGGCGGTGGTGGGGCTGGTACTCTAGAGCTGGCGCCGCGCTTGGCAGCCCAAGCGGCTCCTCCGGCTCACGGCGGTGGAAATTCCGGTGACACCCACACGCGGCACATTTCAGCGAGGTTGGGTCCGCAGGATTCGCCGTTGGCGACGGCATGAACTCCCCGCAACCGTCCACGGCGTGGCCGCCGATACTGGCGGCGTGGTTCTTCAGGCACTCCTTGTAAACAACCACCACCGCGTGGTGGTGGTGGTGGTGGTGGTGGAGCGAATTGTGGCGCTTCAGCACCCCGTTACTGCTAAAAGACAACGGCTTCACCGCCGAGATCCTCGCCGCCGGCGTCTCACTCTCCTGAACATCACCGCCTTTAACCGCCGCGGCCGCGGCGGAGCTCGCGTTGGTGGCTGCCGGAGGATTACTGCCTAAATCCATGCTCTAAACATCAAGCAGTAGTGGCCCTCTAAACTTCCCTCTTCCTTCTTCTCACTCTACTCTCCTGTAACCTTAGATTAGGGTTAACCTTTCACGCCCAGAAACACCCATCTTTCTCCATTAAAGACAGTAAAGATGAGAGCTTTTGAAGTTAAGGAGAAATGAATTTTGTGTTGGAATATTATGGCTCTGGGGGAAAGGTTGCTGATGAAGATGATGGATGGGTAGAGATGAATAGAGAGGATCTGAGATAATAAAAATCTTGGTTTTTTGTGGTCGTCCTTCTTAATTAAAACTCTCTCTCTCTCTCCTTTAATTAATTTGTAATTTTTTTGACCTTGGTTGGTCCAATTCCTAATTTAATCCTATGGTTATCCCATACGCAGCTACTGCGGTGGTGGCCCACTCACTTAGCCTGTGTAGTGCTTGTACCATGTGTGTAATAAATGTCAATTTTTATTACACATAATAATTTAGTATAAGTATTGGTAATGTTAATATTTTGTTTTATTCACAATTAATATTGCAAATTATTGTTTCACTTTATTCCCAAAAATATAAATCTTACCCATAAAAGACGAATGTTAAATCACGATGTCGCTTCTGATTCATTAAGTAAGAGAATAAATGGCTGGTGTTTACTAGAAACACATCATATTGGATGAAATATTTATATTACCGATGTGAAGGCTCAATTATCTGTTCTTTCTCACAATCTATAATTGTATTACATACCTATTTTGTGAATTAAATGTGGAATAAGTTAATCTCAAGGATTTGAGGTCAAGAATTAATAGTGTAGACAATATTTGTAATAGTCTCAGCTGTCACATGACCCCATGAAGACTTAGGGGATGAAGGGGAATTTGACTATCGAATCCCTTATGTTTCCTAACAAACTAATTAGTTTGCATCCAATCCCACCCTCCCATGGATCCAATTTGTGGGGTATTTGCTCACACTTTATACTTTTATTTAGCATATTATAATTTTATTATGCAATAAAAATGTTTGAATTTCAACCTCAATAGGGTATTGACTTTTCATATTTCAATAAATTGAGAAAGTATGTATGGACATATACAATATTGTAACAGAGTCAATACTATTGAAAAAAAAAAAGTTTGAATCTATGTGTATATAATAATAACACTCACAAAAACAAATATTGTTATAGAGATTTAGTTAGTTGATGTTATAAATCAGGTTTATTGAGTTTTGTGTAAATTTTGTGAATATCACTCTTTTATCATTTGAATCTTCATCATGTTAATAATCCATATTCATCTTGTCTTCTTAAAGTGGCACCACCATTCCCCACCCCCCCCCCCCCCCTCCCCCCGCCCCCCAGAGTACTGCAACCTCTGCAAGGTTCATAACTTTTTTTTTCTTTTTGCTTTGGTACCCGCTAACTTTCCCTTAATTAACAAACTGTCAAATGGTGGAAAACCCAAATCTACCCTCGCCCACGCCACAACGATGGGTCAAACACCACTAGCAAAGTCGTCTTTTCCTGCATTATCTCTGAATACAAAGCAAAAAAAAAAAAAAAATCTTGCAGAGACTCTGAGTCTCTGACTGACGGATACGACGCCGTTTAGGGTCACCGCTTTTTCCGTTTCAAATTTCACCGTAGTATGAGTGGACCGGACAAGACAGCACGGGCAGGACGATGAGTTAACGTAAGAAGAGCGTACGGTTTTGTGCAGAAAACCCGAGTCTTTAGCCACCAAATAAGCATCATTAATCCCGCTTAAAACGTGATCATCCCTGCCACGTGTACTTAAATCGTGGTTAGAGGTGACACGTGGAGGTAGTTGGTGTATGTTTGTACCGTCAAGATTTCTAATAAATCTATCTTAAACCTCTAAATAAATATAAATCCAACCAATATAGATTCGACCTTTTTCACTCATTAACCTAATTAAAGTAAAACACGAGATATATTTTAACGACTCGATTACTTATTTTCAAGATCTTACCTATTTGTAGGATTCAAAGCCGGACATTTGCTGACCAGCACAGTCACACTCAGACTTTCACTAACGAGCTATGTCCCGAGCATACCATATATCTATATATATAGTTATATATATTGGTAAGTAAAGTGTGCATGTACTAGGATATGGTGAATCTATGTTGAGACAAAATTTGAAGGTTGAACATGGGTGAGCTAAAAGAGGTTAGAGATGCACTGAATAGAGTGCATATACAATGCAAAAGCAGTCCGGCAGGTCAAAGTCGCGGTTTAGGTGTTAGATAGGGTTCGCCAATCGCCAAGCTTAAGGCAAAGCAAAATCAAGAAGATGATTTGGTGAGATCAGCAGCAGACCAATCATGGAAGTTACTTAAGCTCAGCTTTTATTTTCGAAGGATGTGCTACTGCCCTGTCCTGCCCAATTTTAAAAATAACTTTATTCAATCAATTTATTAAATATTTTTTTATAATTATTTAACGTTATCAACTAGTCAAATCCACTAATTCAATTATCTAACAGCTATCAGTTAATTCACTTATTCGAACATATTTTTGGACAAATTTCATTATCTTTAGGTCTAAAGTAGTTGTGGTAATTTATTTGAGCTATTCCGTATATATTGTTCCATCAGTAACGTTTTTAGCTGTTTTTCTTATCCAGGAAAAAATATAATTTAAAGAAGGAAGAGAAAGAATAAAGGCAGTATTATATAAGTGTATATATGGGTTGGAGATTGCGGAATAGTAGGGCCTTAGGGCCATACCAGTAGGTATTAGAATCCAAAAACTGAGATAACCCTTCACTCCCAACTACTCCCTCTTTTAATTAAATTTCTGAAAATCATGACACTATATTTTTAATTAAATATTCAAAAAAAAAAAAAAAAAAAACAACAACAACAACAACTTTATGGTACTTGAAAAAATAAAATACACACAGTGGAGAGAATTTGATCCAAAGCCTTGCGCGTTCTGGGTAGGTGAAGTTCGTGTTGCGACTCTATAGATAAGCGAAATTCATATTATGACCTTAATTATTAAAAGATTACAATGTGATAAATTATTATGGACTAACTGGCTCAAATTGATACAGTTAAAAGATAATTCTTTAAATTTGAAATTTAACTTGTAATTACCAAGATAATTGTTTGACAAATTTAGCGAATGTTATTACCAAATAATTGTGGGAATGAGTCGAATGACAGTCGAGTTTAGGGTGGGTTTAATTAATAAAATAATAGTTTGGCGAACAGATTAACAGTAAGTTTGGCAGCATATCAATGATTAAAAAGGTGATAAGTAGTGGAATTAAGGTCTTCCATCAATGGTGCAATGTGGAAAGCTCATCTACCTCTAATCATTCAAATTACCCATCACAATCTCACTCCAATCCTTCTTGTTAATTATTATTATTATTATTATTATTATTATTATTATTATTATTATACCCACAATGGGTGATTAAATGAGTAAAACATTATTCTCGTACTATAATGTCATAAGTTTAATTCTTATTAATACTCCCTCAGTCGAGATGTTACCTCTTTTGTGTGGGTTGTAGGCTATTGTACAAGAGCGGGATTCAACGGAGTATTATACAAAAACAAGGTTTATCTAGTTTACACCAACACTCCTGCGATGGATATGGTTTCGCTCGTCATCCAAAATAATAATAATAATAATAATAATAATAATAATATTATTATTATTATTATTATTATTATTGTTATTAATTTCTTTTGCTTAAAATCACTTCACTTTTTTTTTTTTTTGTACTTGTTTTTATTTTTATTTTCGTTTTCAAATTAAACTTTTGGGCCACAATAAATAAGTCAGAAATTTGGGCTCAACCCAACCCATTTTCATTGTATGTACCTCAATTCCGGCAATTTATATCCTACACCACGGCGCGCGTTGCACTATGCGCCTAGATGCAAAACGACGTCGTTTTAATTATTTTTTTTTTTGAAATTTCCCGTCCCAGTGAATGGCAGTAGTTTTTTCTTTAAAAAAAAAACCCGCTGTTCAAGAATATACATAATGTTATACTAGAATACACATAATGTTATACATGAATGTACATAATTATATAACAAAATATACATACTCTTTTTAAAAGATAATACACATAATCTAACATAATACATAATAAACATAAACTTTTAACATAATACACATCAACTCTTAACATAATACACACAAATTTTCTGATTCGAATGTACATAATTGTATAAAAAGAATGTACATAATTGTATAAAAAATACACATAACTGTATGAACCAATACACATAACGTTGTGAACAAATACACATAACGTTGTGAACAAATACACATAATCTCAGCAACTTCCTACCGCGCCTCCCAACACTACCCCAAAACGACGTCGTTTTGGGAGGCGTGCGGCGCACAGTGCTATGTGCGCCGTGGTGTAGGATATAACGATTGCTCAATTCCTGTCTTCTGCTGACTTTAACCTAATCTATTGGGCTGCAGAAGTGGAGAAGTTATTAGTAGCGGCCCAGAATAATTTTAACATTTAAACCCGGTAAATTGCAAATTATAAAATTTGAAATATTAAGACGGTGTTTATTTTCTAAGAACTTTGTGGTCTAGTAGCACCAAGTTGCTCTTCTATATGAAAGTTGTGGATTCGAGCCTCAGTGGAGGCGGAACAGAGTCAGTAGAACTTTAAAAAAAAAAAAAAATGATTGTGCTTATTTTAGTTCTCTATTTTTTCTTCAATTTTTATTATTATCTGATTTATGTTTTAGAATGCATAACTAGACACGTTTTCTTTTTCCATTTATCTAATTTTTCATTTCTTATGAAAAATGAAAAGTTTTTGTAGTTAGTAAATGCACCCTAAATGGTAAATATTCATATTTTCTCACAAAAAGTTGGTATGAACAAAAATGTGATGTGGTCATATCACCAATAGCCTGGTAAAGAAGGTCAATTACTCCTATATTGAGTTCGAATATTTGTTTGATTTTTGTCTGCTTTGATATTGCAATTAAACTTTTTCAATTAATTTAAGACAATTAAAAACTTACTTATGCTTGAGAAAAAAGATATCTAATTGATTTTAGGGAGAAAAATAGAATTAGGACATGAGAAATTATTACAAGTTTAATTGTATAATTTTAGCTTTAATAAGTTTTCTATTTATTTAGTGAGGGGTTCATGAAGATTAGATGAAAAGCGCCAGTAGAAAACAATTAAAATGTAAAAAAATGGCTACAAGAAGAGTCAAAGAACTGAGTAATCAATTCACAGGAGAGATCAAGTGCAGCCATGTTATTAGATTTGGTCATATGGTCAATTATAGATCATTA